CCGATTTTCCAAAAACATGCCCGCTATTTTGGTGCAAAGTCTTTAACACGGTTTTCATAAATTCAGACATGTAACCCAAAATGTAACCCAATGTTTTTAAGATGCTAGATTATGCGAAGAGGCGCAGATATTAGCCAAACTAAGATTTCAAGATGGTTCATACATGCTAAGACATAAAGCTATGCTATTTCAGGTGCGAAGCCGTCATAAAACGTCATTTGTTCTTTTTTGATATACTTAATCGGTTTCCAGATGGTGAGGTCCAGCGTTTGAACCCCAATCCGCGTTGTTGTTTGTCTTCTGGGGAAAAATGTCCTAAGCCTCTTCCCTCCATTGGTAATGGGCTTTCCCGAGAATAACTCAACAAAAATGCCCTTTGAACAAATAAAACATTGGGTTTTCACAGTTATTGTTACATGTATAACCCCACACTAGTGCCGGTCTACACTAGTGTAGTGGCTTGAATTGATTTGGTTTTCCTGGTTTTGGATTTCAACGTTTCCAAAGTTTTGACTTTGCCGAAGTCAAATCCAATAAGCTTGAGAATACATCCGTTGACAGGTTTTGAGCTATCCTTGTGATATATTGCCCTGGCAAGTGTATAGTCTATGTAATGTTTGAAATGTTTTTTTGTTCTATTTATTATTCCTTTGCTGTCATTCAGACATACTGTCACATGACAAATGACCACAAAGGATGGACGCTTATCGCTCGATTCGCAAACAACGACGACAAAAACTGGATGCGTGACGACGGACTTTGGTGGCATGACCAGCACGTTGCCATGGAAACAACCACAGATCCATCCATTGACTCTGACATGGTCTCACCGGCGTTTTGGTTGGTCAGTGGCAGAGCGTTTAAGATCGCGCACAGTGGCGACCCCAGTCACACTCCTTTGTTACAGACCACAGGTGACGGTTTGGCTGGACAAACATTCCGATCAAAAATCACAAACTATGGCGACTTTAGAGATGGCAGAGTTTGGGCCAGTAACCAGTGCTTAGGAAGCTGCATTGTTCAATATGGTGGTCAGCACAACTCAACAGACGGGTTTCAACAGGCTGAGTGCAGTGGTGAAATTCAAAGCGCTAACATCATCGGCTTCTGGTGTGACTGGATTAATGGTGATGGATCAGTGATGATGATCGGTGGAGGAGGAAGTTCTTGTGCACCTGGTGAACACGGGATTGGAATACCAGAAACTAAATCTGCCTCGTTTGACGAAATGGTTGGAAGCCTGGCAACCGAATATGACTTTGGTTATGACGCATTTACGAGGAATGCCCCATCCTAGTCCTATTCTTTTAATTTGTGGATCCGTTAAATGGGATTCATCATTGAAGTGCATCTAACCAACACTTTTTCTTTCGCTTAAACATATTTACAAGTATTAGGAAATTGTTTTCGATTGAATGCTAGAGTCCCTCTGCCCAGGGAAATTTGAAAAATATGATATCTTCTTGGTAAAATGAAGCCATTATAAATTGTGTTATGCTGTTAATGAATGGCAATGGGACCAGCGTCTATTTTTTACGTACACCCGACAAAATAGGACCTGTCGTCTGCAGTAATTTCCTTAGAATGGCACGATAGATATCGATCGAGAGAGAGATATCCGGCGACTAGGTTTTTGTAAATTGAGAAGAAAAGGCATAATGCGGAATACAAACCACTGTTAGCTTAAACAAGGCACATACCTTTCCCTTAGATTTGCCCTTCAGTTTTATTTTCCCTTTATCAAAGGCTACGGTCACCTTCATTGTAGCCGGTTGGATGGAAATGACAGGAATTGAGATCTGTATTTATTATATGGCTCTGTCTCACAAGGACTGGGAACTACCAAATTCACGAATTTGATTGGCTGAAATCGATATTGAAAGCGGTCTAGATTTTCCCATCTAGACCGGCATCTAGACCGCTAATGTTTTGCAGTGAAAGAGTTGCAAACTAAAATGAAAAACCATTGACTATGTTCCTCTAAAATTATTTCTTATGGAAGTGCTAAAACGCCTGATGAGAAAAAAAAGGTTAAGAGGACGAGAAAACTTTGGCAGAATTAAATTCAGCTCAGCGCCGTTCACAAGTAAAATGTCAGTTAGTACAAACCAGTTACATT